GAAAAAAAAAGAAAGCAAGGAGCAGCTAGTGCCAATCACATTCCTTATGCAGGCTCCCTGCCCACTCACACCCCTAATCCTGACATTGCATCCTTGGTCCTAGCATCACACACCTTAGACCCAGCCACCTCTGAAAAGCTCCATCTCTGACTTCATAAAGCTTGTGGGGGGGGGACATCTAGACATAGTTTATAACATTTTCATTACATGTTCTTGGTGCCTCAAAGTGGAGGACTTAAGGGTAGGTGTGTGCCTGTGTGTATATGTGTACTATGCATGTTGTGTGGCTTCTTGTCTATTACAGATACTTTAGGGGATCTTGAGGACTAGGCAATAGCACCTGAAGACTGGAGGAAGGGTGGAAGGTAGCCAGAGGAGTAACAGGGCCCGAAACTGGCCCCAAAGCTGGACACACAGCTCCTGCCAATGTTAGGGAGCTGAGCGGCCACCGTCAGCAGCTGTTGGTGTTAAGTGTTCATCTGCACCAGCCAGTGTGTGCCGTGCTGGGTGCACATCATTTTATTTGCCATCCACCACAATAGCATAAGCTAGGTATGGTTAGCATCTTTCTTCCTTTAACAGTTGTAGTTATGCACCTGCTGTGCACCAGGCACAGAGCTGTATGCTGGGGACATGGTAGTATAGTGAACAAAACCAAAAACAAAAACAAAAGACCCTCCATTCTGTCTTCTTCTAGGGCTGCTTCCAGTGGGAGCCAGAGAGAAACTGAGTCACTATCATTTGTGACAGATGGGGCTTTTGCATGGGTTGTCAGCTAGGCTGCTTGGGGAGGGAGAGGGTAGGGAAAAGGACAGCACAAAGGGGCCCAGAAGCCAGGACTATGCACATACTTGGAGTAATGCTCCAGGTAATTACTTGGAGTAATGCTCCCATGCCTGCCTTACCTGGAAGGTGGGAGAAGCATGGCCCACTAGGATGGGGCCCATGAATCAGGAAGTCTGTGTCCCCTCCTTTGGTTCTCATTTGGCAGAGAGAATACAGGGACCCAGGGGCTGTTCTATACCCCTCACTATGAGAGGCACTGAGAGTATCTCAAGAGAGAAGATTCCCAGACTTTGCTTCTGCAGAACCCCAGCTCCTGGCCTCAGGAGGCCATTTCATCAGTGGTGGCAAAAGGAAACCAGTTCTCTTAAATAAACCCATCAAGGCAGTGCTGGAAAATGAACTTGTGTTTGTCCTTCTTAGTGTTCTGGAGCCTGGTCTTCTAGGAGCACAGGGAGGCTCTGGATAAGAGACTAGGAGGGAAGGTCCATGAAGTTTAGAGTCCTGGGCACCTGAGCTCAGGGCTCAGCTCACAAATTAAGACAGGTTCCCTATAGGAGTGGTGGGAGGGTAGACACCAGGATTAGAGGGCCCACCTCAGTCACACCCATCAGCCTCTGTTTCCTGGTTTAGCAAGATGGTCACAGCTGTGGAAACTACACAGCTCATGTTCACTGAGTCCTAAATCCATGCCAGGCACAATGCCAAGAGCTTCATGTATACTTTGTCTTTACCAGACCCTGGTTCTTGGAGAGTCACAAAGGAAAGGCTGAGGCACAGAGAGGCTCCTTAACTTAAGGTCTTGCCCTAGGGTGAGGTAGGGAAGAGATACTGACCCAAGAGGTCTGACTCTGAGTTCCCAGATGCCTCTATTCCTGGGCTTTCTAGAAGCTATAGCCTCAGCTTCTGGGCCACTGGGTCACGTGGGCCTTTGAACAGAATTTTCATGCATTAAAAGCAGCTCAAAACTTTGAGAGGAGTTGGGCTGGGAATATATCTCCATGATGATATTGCTTAAGATACAGGGAGAGCTCCTGGACTCCCAGGTATACTAGGTCTCAGTTGCGCAACCTTGGGGGTACCCTCTCTGGGAAGCTTTTCCCCAGCTCTTGGCACAGCTCTTGGGGGAAGGCCCTTGGCTACCACACATGCCAGGTAGCCATCTACTGGGGAAAGGGTGGGAGGGGGACAGAACGGCGCCAAGCAGTATTTTGTTTTCCAGGAATCTCTCCAGAAAAGTGAGGGAGGATGTGGTTTTATTTAACTTTTTTTGTAGGAATACTATAGGCAAGAAAAAGAAAATTCAAAGACTAACTGGGCTGAGGGAGATAACTTCGGAGAGTAGAAGTAGAGGTTCCTAGGCAATGTGCCCACTACCATTTTTGGGCAGATCCATAGCCCTCCTACTGCCCTGTGTTTCAGTTTTCCTCTTATGATTAAAATAAAAACATGGGACACATTTCGCCACCTGCTTCTCCCTGCAGTGAACAGCAGCAGCTCAAGCACACGTGCCAGCTTCAGTGCGGAGGGGTGGCAGTAACTGGTAAGCTGAGCCCCCGCCACCCGAGGGGCGACCGTAACTCTGCTCCAGCTGCTGTCCCGTGGCCTGAAGCATTGGGGCCTCTGGCTTTTTAGAAAAGATGGAAAGAGACGCTTCTATCAG